TGCTTCGTAATTTATTAAGTTCCTGTTTTTCTAAAAGTGAGCTTCTTTAATTAGTGTGATCACAGGCACAACTAAAAACCATATGCAACCATGCAGTTTAGAAATTGCTGTCTGTCTGCTGGGTCAGGTAGTAGGTGAGGGAAAACTACTTCTGTTCATAATATTYACTATTCAAAATGTTGTATTTGAATAGTCTAATACAATGAAATATGCAGTATGGCTGGACCTAAAGGGCACTGTTGCCTGTCTCCAGCACTCTTTAGGCCACAGAAGGACTTTGCCATAGATAAGCACWAAAGGGAGCAGCAGGATGTTTCTACCTCCAGGCCTGGCAGAGGTGAGATGTGGGCAGCACATCCTGGGTAATGCAGCCTGACAAAAATTCCCACTGTGGCAAACTGTGTGAAGAAGCAACTGCAAACGCACAGATCAYAAGTCAAAAAAAGATCACCCCAAGTTATGGGACAGACGGGCAAATATGACCACTGAAGATGCCCCTCCCCAAATCTGCGTCCTAGGGACTGTAAATTAAGCCACTGTGACAGGAACTTAAGATAAAAGTGTTCCTGTTGTCTGGGTGCTATCTCAGATTCTGGGGGAAGTTTGCAAAGCTGGGGAGAAGAATGGATCACTGAAAATGGACACAAAGAATGCAGAATTTATGGGCCACAAGGAAAGCTGATTCAGTAACCATGCTGAAATCGGCTCTGACTTGGTAAAAGTAATTCTGGCAGGGGAAGATGACAACTCACTGAACCAAGAAATGCACCAGCTCAAAGGAAGAGAAGGACTGAGCACAGGGCTAAYTAGCATTAGAAGCAAAGGAATCAYTTAATCTATACAGTAAGAGAATTGTGTAGCCAAAAAGCATTAATTCATTTGTTTGYTAAAATGTATAAACARTGAAAAGTTTTGAACAACCTCAGGACATGCCAAAGGGTGAAGAAAGACCAACAGGATGCCACTGGAGCCACAGTGGGCACCATCTCCTTCTTTACGTMTCTCTCGCTTTCCCCCTGCCCACTCCACTTACTGCTAAATAAAACATGCATTCTTGATGTCAGCACTTGGTCTCAGCTCACTAATCGTACCTTAACAGTTGGTTTTTCCTGTACTGATTTATTCTAAGACCAAATATTCATTTTGCCTGCTTCTGACAAYGGTCAATACCCAACAATTAGGGAAAACAAGGAGGAAAAGAAACTTGGCATATGTACCACGATAATTCAACTGATATAGCATTCAGTTTCTAGCAGTCTGCATGTTAGTCACTCTTCTCAGCTAAAGCAACCTCTGGACTACTGTGCTAACAGTTCCTGATGTACAATCTTCAGCTATCTATCTAGGCCTTACATGAAATTCTTTCACATTTTTAGTTTGTCTATTGTCAAAGAAAACATTTCTGTTAGTATGTTTTAACCTGCTGGACAGTATTTCACATGGGATGAACCMTGGTTATTTAAAGACAAAAAGAATGTATTCCTTGTTTTCCTTGAGTATGGGACACAAGATTTGAAGTATTTTTACTGTGTTTTCTTTTTTGATTTTCCACCATCAGAGTATTACTTTATTAAAAGATCCTTTAGGCATAAACTATTGCCAACTGCTGCTCATTGCCACTGTTCTCTGCCATATCAGAAAGTACACATTACACTTTTTGAGATGGGGTAAGGAAAGAACTGATGATGTAAGTATATCACTGATTTTTGTAGTATCGCATTTATGTTTTCTGCTTAGTCTCAACTGCATTTGTTCCCAATTGTTCTGATGCCAAGAAGATTTTTGCTTTTATATATTCTTCATATATATTCACAGCTGTGTAGACTATTATTGTATAGTTATATAGTTCTTAGCTAACTCCAGTATTTTTCCTTTACACAAAACACATTCCAAAGACCCAATCCTAATCTTGCTTCTTCTAGGAACCAAGGACAAGCTAACCTCACAAGATGTTTTCCCATGTACTAGACATAAAAAAGGTAAAGCCAGTAGCAAGATGGGGGCTCCAGAAGAGGTTGAACCAAACAGGGCAATTACCTCATCACCTTTGTTTCTAACTGGGGCTTTCTGTTTATTATGCTAATTTGCTAAACATAAAATTGCATTTGCCCAATGCCTCCGGGGCACTTCTCCATATTTGCCCCTGGAGGCCTCCAGTTACAGATCAGCTTTTATAYTACATCCTATACTAATATTGTCTCAAAAGTGTGGTTTTTTGTTTCTAGATTTTTAAGGCATCAGTTCTTATATAGTGTTTCTCCATCAATCACTGAAATTCACTTGCTGCTTTGTCASCATCTGCCAGTATTTCCCTTTGACATGAAGATTTTTTTAAAGATATTAATCCAGAAAAAAAAAGTYATCAAACCATTTTTTACCTAAAAATTTCTTTAACAAAGTCTTTGTTAAAACACCTTGTTGAAACATGGATAGAAATTCAGTTATCTTCTACTGACTTCTTACCTTTATCTGCATGYGGCAATAGACCTGCAAAAATGCACAATGACTCTCCTCCACCACAATTTATCTCCAATAAATACATTTTCATTTTGTATTTAGTCTTCATCACTTTTTTTTGGGTCAGAAGCCTGACTTGCAGATCCTCCCTGTAGCCCTTCTAAAGAACTTGGGGGGCTTTTCAGCTTTGACCTTGTCTAGTACAAAGTGGCCCCCCACAGCAGGGGGTTTAAACCAGATGAACCTTGAGGTTCCTTCCAACCCAAACTATTCTACAATTCCTTTGTGTTTTCAGCTAGCTTAGTTCATGTAAGAATCTGTAGTCCGTTAAGTTTATATTTGAGTAATTTTGATTTTTTTTATGTGTTTTGTGACCACTGTTTATTCCTGGGGAATTATTGCTATTCATTTTATATTAAAAAAAAATTTTACTGATTCCTTCATTTGACATCATCCTTCCATTTACAATAYACAGTAGGGTCAACTGAAGTTCTCCCTAGAGAAAACTGATGCAAAGAACAAATTTAACTTTACAGCTATGGCTTATCTTCTTGGCAGACAGTCACAAACCACATCTTCTCTGGAAGGATTAGAGCTTTTGAGATGCTTGAAAAAGACGAAGTATAGATCCTCCTTTGCATTTGCTAAGATGATCACTATCCTTTTAAAGTGATCAGTAAACTGCTCTAATTATCTTCATATATGGGGATGGAATTTCAATCCCTAAAAAAGTTATGGTACTTATTGACAAGGTATGCCAACTTACTCTGTCTTAAATACAATTTATAAACTTTTATCACAGTATTCCACTCACTTCTGTCAGAAGTTTCATAAATGCCCAAAATGTCAGTAACACAAAGGGAAATGAGGCATTCTACATAAAAATTTTTGGATTTCAGATGTTTGGTATTAGGATGTAAGTACATCTTTATTCATCAACTTGTCTCTTGCTCTCTTTCTTAAATTAACCTAATTTTTGGGATGATTCACTCATCCTCATCTGAATTTTGCTAATTTAGTTTTCATCTTTTTTGCAACTACATATCCAAAGAAAGTTGTATACTATCTGTTCCTCTAAAACCTAGTCCTTAGCTAAAAAATTTTAAAAGTTAGAGGGCATTTCAAGTGTCTGCATCATGACTATTTTGAATTAGATTATTGTTTTAGGTCCCTTTCAACTGAAATAGTCCATTTTATTCTAACAGATAAAGAAGAGCCTGTCCCTTTTATCATAGTTTAGATTTTTTTAATAGTGCTTCCCATTCCTAACTTCCTAGACCACTTATCATTTTTCTAACAAAGTACAGACTTTGTAAGTCCTAGCCATATTCTCCAAAAGCTCTCATCTAACTTCCTGGCAATATTTTATCTCTTGCCTTCAGAACTCATCTCCTAGTTCTCCTATTATGCTATCAGTTTCTTCAGGGACAAACCTTATGTTTTATACTGTAGAGACAGCATGCTGGTGGATTGCAACATATCTCCAAAAACATATTGAGCTGGGAAAAAAAAGCATCACCACCACCACCAATAAACAGAAAAGTCTCAACAACAAAATACCCAACCTTACAAAAAATTAGGAACGACATTGGAAGGTTAAGATATCCCACAATGGCCAGAGGACTGAAGCTAAGTTGCATCCACTTAGGTTGCAGCAAATCTAAGGAAGACAGAACTGGTCTTAACACAGGAAGAACCAGTACATCCACTGGGCCTCAGGGTCACTTGCTGTGTCTCATGGAATAGTATGAGATGAATCAAAATGTCTGTGGTGAGTGCCCCAGCCCTTGTATGTAAGAAAGCAGTCTTTTAGCTAGGTAAAAACCCAACCATGCCTGCAGAGTAAATTTCAACCTATYTGCTCATATTTCTTCTTCCAGATTAATCTTGGTGCCAAGCATATATGGCCAACATTTGCTAGAGAGGTTTAAGTGAAAGAATGGTTTGGTTTTTTTCCTATTTAATTCATTGTCTTCATGTCACAAGGTGATTTTATGAAAACCAGCCAGTGCACTTGGCTACATGATTTGGAATAAATAGTGAGAAAAATAATTTTGGCAAAAATAACACCAGAAAACAGTTTTCATGGGCTATGAATCTTATTTCTGAAACATAAGATTTTTTTGGTAATATGGTTGTATGTGCAAAAACATTCACAATGGTAGYGTATGCACTAGAAAACAAAGAGATACAGGATAACAGACATATTTTTCTAAGAGAGTGACATAAAATTCATGTAACACTAGAGTGCTTAACATTCCTACTTAACTTCTATAACTTCTTAACTAAGTTAAGAAACTTAGATACAGTGTAAAACTTGAGAGTAATCAATTTTTTCCTCATTCATTCCACTTCAGAGGAATCCTTTAATTGGACTGCTCATGTATTTAGTTTTTGAGAGGGAAAMAAGTTAACTTTTTCAAAAATACATGCTACAAACTAGACAGAAGTTATGCAAAGAAATTTAAAATTTAAAGAAATGTAGTCAAATTACTTAGGGATTTTTCTTTTGTTTTGTTTTTTAAGAGTGCTCCAAAGGATATYGACATTTTTGCGACAAACTTATCRTGCTTATCTTCAGGAACTGGAAAAGTCTGCAAATCCTTCTCAAGCTGTTGAAGTTGCCTCTCCATATGCTTAAGGCTCTTCTCCAGGTTTTCTGCTGAGACTAAAATAAAGAATATTCATTCAGTTAACACGCTAAACAAAAAACACTAYTTGCAAAACACACAAATGAAAACCTTACCCAGATCAGCACACTACATTTTTAATTCTGAAATAAAAGCACACTGAACAAATCACAATGCAAGATGGGGGTCACTCTACAATGTTCAGCTACCCCCATTTAGGCAGATTCCTCATTCTGGTTAGGTGTATGCTGTTCACATGCTGCTTTTTGTTTTTATGCCTAAAGTTTTGCATTGCAATTAACACTCTGYTTTAAATAACCTGAGATATACATATGCTAGTCTATCTCTTCTGATTACCTAAAGGATGAATTTTGAAGATATGCTAAGAACCACAAAGCTTTTCTCAATCTCATTCTGTTAAAACATTAATTACTAACATTTGTATGGAAGATGAAGAAAATAAGATCGTTGGACACCGAAAATAGGGTTACTAAATACCTATGCACGAAACCTAAACCTCAATTCTCTAGTTTAAAAGCACCATATGGGGTAAAAAAAACAACAGAATTTGTCAGAGAAAAAGTGATTGCAAAACACTTGAGAGTGTACAAGAGAGCAACACAGAGATTTASGAAAAAAAAGGAGTGGAGTTGAAACATCAGGGATTTACGCAAGGATATAGAAAAAGTGCAAGTTTTCTTTGCCAGGAAAAAAGAAATCCAATTTTCATCCATTTGAAGCAATGCATGTAAAGTTGAACATTTGAGCTGTAAATAGTTGACTGAAATATCAAGATGACCAAAGCGACCTGAGAATAATTTGTTAGCATGTATTCTATCTCAGATCTACATTATTGCTATCCGTTAAAACTTGTTTCTGATTGTTTATGAAGTCTACATTGAATTAAGTTCCATAGGAGCAATATATAAAGATGTAAGAACATACTATGAATTCTAATCAAAGGATTTTTTTTCTTTTTTATTATTTATTTAACTCATAATATTCTATGCAGGTACAGTTACCTTCATCTTCATCTAAAAAAAATTCCCTGGAGAAAGTCTGGTCCCTATGATGTTACTGGGATCTGTAGTGGAGCTACAATTTCATCTACCAAATAGTTATGTGACAGAAAATATAAAGTACATAGAATAAACACATCCTTCTCTGATAAAAGCCTGACAGAGTCCCCAAATGACCAGAGCAAAATGCGGTGTAGCAGCTATAATCCATTCATAGAAGAAAGGCTCACACAACTACGAAATGCTCCAAGGCAATCTGATAAATTGCTTTATAATCAGCMTTTTTAAAAGCCTCTGATTACTCAAAGAACAGTTTCTCAATTGTATGTTAGAGTTACAGATTTTCACCCAGCAATTGGTAAGCTCAAGTCATCACCAGGTAGGTCAGCTGGCTTCAGCAGTTAAGGAACTGCTTTGTTTGCAGAGCAGAACTACAATAGAAGCTGACAATGTTGACTAAGATGTGTTTCAGTTTTCACTGATCCCAAAAACAAACCTGATTTTAACAGAAAGTCATACTTCTGTCATGAGAAGTATCTGAGGGTTAAGCCACACCTTTTTAAGCCACTGATTTACTTAGAAAGCTGTTAAGAAACAGAATCCAACTAGTGTCAATTTTAACTATTGCTAGGACTCTTCACAAGACCATTAATCTTCCATAAAGAGCTCATTAGTGTGCCATACACATATAGTATGTACAGTACATAATGTCAAAATTATAAGAGCTGGCAAGTAACAGATTTAAAAACAACACAAAAGCCCAACCAACCAAAAAATCCTCCACATCAATTGCAGGGTAGCAGCTAAGTAACAGCTACATTCTTTTACCCAGATGAGATAGCCAACAAAACAACTCAGTGCCTAGAGCTGATCAACAGGTTCTATACAAGAGATTTTCAAGCTCTTGCTTCCAGCAAAGCAAATTTTTCTCTCTAGTACTTCAGTTTTCTTGACATTGAACAGTTATATATTTGATCAATAATCTTTATATTTCTATTTTGTCCTGAAGAGGATTTTTTTCCYCTTTCACAATCTTAGGTTGTTCTTGAACTTAAGATTTCAGCAGTGCATAACTAYTAGATACATTTTCCTTTAAGGCTATATTTCTGATGATAGCCTCAAGTAAAAGCTAGTTCACAATGTGCTGCTACTAAGTTTGGTGCTATTRTCTTTGCAACTTTCAATTCAGTGAAAACAGATTTAAAAAAAAAAAACAAACCTGTAAATATAACCAATATTTCATTAAAAAAAAAAAATCACATAAAATACTTGCCAATCTTCTCGTGTCCCACTGAAAGACAGGGTATAAAAAAACTCCTTAACTTTAACCCCTAATCCTGGAAGGATTCAGAAATAAAATCAAGCCAAATTGAAGTACACAACTTATATGCTAGTTTAAAACAAGTCAAACCCTGGATGTTTGAATGTTAGTGAGCCCACAAAACCAAGCTGTTCGTTGAAAACAATGCATCTGTGCCTAAACRCTCTGCTACTTACACCCATTCATTCCCCCTAAACTCTCACAGCCCTCTTCCAAAATGGCTCCTGATATTTTTTTAAGCAATAAATAGATTTCCCACCAKCTGCTTTTCAGGGTTAAAACAACTTCATTCTTACGACTTCCTCTTTTGAATCTGGTTTTCTAATATCACAATTATTCCAGAAGCCTCTTCAACTGCTTCTGTTTTCAAATATTTCTGCACAGTATTTCAGGTGATGACTCACCAACCCTTTTAATTTTTGCATTACRATTTCTCCAGCTCTTCTGGGAAAACCTTATGTGATTAACTTACAATRAAATAGCCTTCTTTTCTCGACCAAAGTCCTTATTACAGTATCAAGATGCATGATCTTGTACTTCATACTATTGATTTTAATTTCTTTTATTCTGCTTCTTCAGGATGCCTCAGTGATGACAACCCAACAATCCCCTCATTTGGCAAACTGTCTAACTCTCTCTCAGGCATGCTCATTGGAGCAATATCACTTTTTTTTTTTTTTTGGCCATATTCCTTTTAAGACAGTACTTTGTTTCTCCTATGTTTTATTCTAATGATTATTCTCCCATTGTACATAATATTAAGTCCTTTCCTGAAGTCAACACAGATTTCATGGAATTAAAAAAAAGAAGAAAAAAATTAATAACCAAAGCTAGCAATAATTTCATTTTGATTTTATGCTTTCATTAACCTCTGTGTTGGATTATTCTTTCTTCTATCAACTTTCATAACAATAAAGTCAGATAAAGAGATATGGAATTGCTCAAATAATTCTTTTTTCAGTTTCTTAAATATTCTACTGTCATACAACATTACTATCGCCACAACAAAATTTGGGAAAGAAAGTACCTATTAAACTTCTAGTTCTATCTCAGTTAACTCAGGATGCAAACTATGAAACTGGTATTTACAGTATGAGAATCCTGTACTCTGATACTTTTCTTTGAACAAATTTCTGTGGAGACTTTTTGCTCCCTTCTCCCCCATCCCCAGATTATTCTTGCTTAAAATTAAAACAGTATTTCATTGAACTTTGAAATTACACCTGTTTTATCTTAAGTACTARAAATAATTCTCCGAAGTGAAGCAACATTTGCATGCTCTCTCATTTCTATTGCTGCAAACCTTTTGCTACTTTTTTGCATTAGTCAATATTTCAGACATTTTATGTGTCAACATTGTATGACAATTTGCTTGGATGTTGCCATCTCCTCATCATGATGCTCTTCCTTTTCCATACAGATCTTTTGCTTCCCTTATGCTATTATGGACCCTTTATTCTGAGAGAATGACTTGTGCATTTTCAAGGTTTCTTAAATGGTCCAATTGTCTACCACATGTGGCTTTTTGTCCTCCCAATCTCTGCTTTCAGCTTCWGCAATGAGCCTACTTCACACTAGAAATCTTCACAACCTAGAAATCTGTGTCATCTGCAAGACAGTGAAACCATCTATTGGTTTTGGTGCTAATTAATTATAAGAGAATATGGARTAACTCGTGAAGTTTGCAATGCTTTCTGAAAGCATAGAAAAAGCAACCCAAACACAACAATCCTGATGGCCTGAAAATAGAGCCTGTGGATTCGTGACCCAAATCAAAATAAATACCCAAGCAATGAACAGCATAAAAAAGATATTTAATAATACTGAGAAATTTTCCATTGACTTAGAAATTCTCTAATAAGAAAACATCCCATTCCTTATGACATATARAATGCATATGGCATATATATGAATAATTTATTCCCATGCTATCCTAATGTTTTTAAATGCTATAGGTGCGAGTGTCCTATTATGTCATGAATAYATTTAAATTTCTTATTTTCAATTTGGTTCCTAGTTTTTTTATTCTGAAGTGAATTTAATCACCTATKAAAAAAAACTTGAATGAAGCTTCAAAAAAGTGAAAATGGATACGTTAGTTGTAAAGCTGCAAAGCGTTAATGTCTTTTAGAGAAGGGAAAATCTGCAGCTTTATAGTGTTATTACAATATGAAAGACTTGATACACTATTACCTGTAAGGTCTGTGTAAATTAGAGTCAATCAAATAAAACAGCAGCCTGGATAAATGCAATATAAATCTTTATAATACCATAAAATAAGAAATTAGTAAATTGTACTGAATTACCAAAATATTTCTTGTCTGGAATACTAATAGAAAAGCAGGAAAGTCATTATGTTTAAAAGAAAAGACAGCTTTAATTATATAAATCTTCAGGAACTGTCACATCTGTAAGCTCATTAGCTGCAATGAAAGTTCCTCCTGCTGATCTAAGAGCACTTAGAAAACAGGATTTGTTATACTTCAAAGTAAAAGGTATCTTTAATTCATGTACTGTAACAGTGAGCTAAATCTACTTATAGTATTACAAAAGTAAAAACTAAAACTTAGCACACAATGCAAAATAAACCCCCACAATTTAAATACCTTAAATACCCTGAAGCAAACTTCAATTGCACAGGTCACGTCCCTTACTGTTTGCTCTCAAAGTTAGATTTAAAAAAAAATCTTTTCCTGCAACAATAAATTTACACACTGTGAATATTTAATCATTTATAAAATACTAGAAAATGTATGTTAGCTTCACCATTAACTTGGTGAAGTTACCTGTCACTAGTCTTGAAGCCTTACAAGCTATTTTAACAGCTTATTGTACGATTACCAGAAAAAATGTAATTAAATGAAAGAAACAAGTATGTTTTTTTCTGAACAGGGTAAAAAGAAAATGAGTTGCTGAACATAATAAATAACTTGCGAGAGAAGTTTTAATAAWGAGTGAATACAAAACAAAAAAGATGCAAGTTGTGCTACAAATGGGCTGGCTGATACAAGGATACTCATGTCAAGAAAGAATTCTCAAAAAAAGCATCCTATAAGTAACTGGTTTGAGACTGCAGAAGACTCAGCAATTATTTGAATGTGATCAAAACCAAGAAGTGCACAGTAGAATTCCATTTTTATATATAAATATGTGTGTCCAGCTTMAAGTTTTCTGTTAATATTGTTCAAAGGGCATTTACACATCTTTCTACCACATTAATTTTGATTTATAATTTAAYGAACATCTGCAAATAATACTTTTATGCCACATATAAAATGTGAAATTATTGTATCTGAAGATATGAATATACAGACAGCTAATAAAACCAGCTCAATAAAAAACAGCTTGCAAAAAGCTATAAGGAGAATAGAATATTCTTATCCAACTTCATAGATTAATTCTTGGGAATTACTTTTAAAAATTATTTCAGAAAATAAAGTTCAGTAAAACCATGAAGGGAATTTAATTCCACTACCTATACAAGGCTCTAACCTTTGCCAGGACAAAAGCTAGAGAAAAAGATTTCAAAACAAGTACTGTAAGAATTGGTTCAGGGAAAAATTGAACATTATATTCAAATGATACAAAAGCATAAAAATGTGATGTGATCTCCTCGCCCTACAACTTGAGAAACAAAGCAGCATACATGTGAACAGAACCTTTCTGTTGGATGACAGGAAAAACACAGGGTGATTTCCTCCCTTCTATAGTATCAGCAAGCTGTAGCCTTTATGTAACATTTTGATCTAGTGGTTTTTTCATATTTACTAGAAGTGTACGTTGCCTGCCAGAAACACAAGCCAGGATGGATTACACCTGTTAAACTATCTTAGAATGGAGGAAATGCATTAAGCCCACAACACTTAAGTTCTGTTCTACCACAACTAGTATTTTTTTCTGGAATACACTTATTTGACYAGATGAAAGATTTTTTATTACTTGCCTTCTATCACTGTGCTAGTAGCCATAATGATGCCTTTCAATATCTGCTGTAATATCTGCTATGATTTACCAGCTGTCTTGGTCCACTTGTTAGACTTCATCAGCTCAGTAAGTTACATGAGACCATTATGGTGGATGTGACTGAACAGATTCACAGATTTTCTTTTTAASTGACCTTTTGGTAAGCTCAAGCAAAAATAGCCAGTTCATTAAAAATTTACTGTACAAAAGTCTGTGCATATTAAATCAACTTGCTTCATAAAAATGCACTTTTGCAGAAGTACCAAAAGATTTAAAGAAACACCATGAATTACAGTTTTGTGATCTAATGGTTTTCCCAAATTCYATTGCAGCAGAAGTCTTTCAAAAAACAGTGGAGTTTTGCAAGTAGGGAAACAAGCATAAACAAACACACTGATGCACTWATCTGTTAAAGATATCCTAAGCCTTTGTCTTTTTCATACAGTAAAACTGAAATGCAAAATGYATCTCATAATACACTGCAGTAAATCAAATATATAAACTKRAAAACATGATCATTGATTTCCATCCTACCTCRTACTGAGTGAGAGCAAAGACTYAACTAGTTATTAGCAGATACCTAAAACAGAACAGAAAGCCTGGGCTAACTGCTAATTTTACTGGCTACCCTTTGAATGGTCAGTCTTTAAGATCTCAGAATTTCTGCAGGAAAGAGTCAGTGGTCACTGACTGTCATACAAGATGACTGTCTACATTGAATATAGTGCCTTCTAATAAGGATGTAAAAAGCTCAATCACAATAGAGGCAAGAACACATTAGTCATGAAAAAAATCAGTGACTAGTTAACACTAAAAATAATGCTAAACCCAAATTTATATGCAAATTTATATACAGCAAATTTATATACAGCAGAAACTCTTTCTAGGACCACTACAAACATTTAGGTGAAGGGCTTGAAGCATCTGAGAGCTGTTTAATAATAATTGAACTTTTATGTGGTTACAATGCACCAAGTAAAATTGGAAACTTGAAGAACCAGAAAGCGAACTCTATGTAAGTGACCACTATCTCAAATTCTCTATCAGAGGCAGATTTTTCAAAGCTGTAATTTGAGGCAGGAAGATTGACTGAGGCATAAGAGTGACACTCTACAAAGCAATATAGATAAGCTGTGATATTTTCCAAACTGACATAAACGAAAAAATTATTAAACTGAGACAGCCCATCCAATCATTTCTTCTTGCCAGAGTAGGACAGTGCTGAGGTAGCATCAATTTCTACCTCCATGCTATGTCTGTTTAAATTACTTAAACTGATAAAATATGGAAAAGGCACTCATAATTAAGAAATTAATTGCAAAAAACTCCACTCCTGCTTATACTGAGATTTCCCACATTCTATACTCAATGATGAAACAGTACAAATTTTTCAATAATTGCAATGCTACTGTTGCATGAAAAACACATCTATAGTGAAAACAAGTCTGTTCCATGTTTTGAAAAAAATAAAATAAAATTAAGTGATGCCATGACAGCCCTTCAGCATGTCTGAATTAAAAGACAGTGAGTGATATACTTACCGTATAAAAGATCAAAAATTGGAATTAGGATCTGTTAACAGAAAGGAATTTTTAAAAGAAATCCTGTAATGGGAAGTCCTGCAGTAAATGTTAGAGGATCAAAAAATAAGTATCTTCAAGATGATTCACAGCACCTCAARTTACTGATTTGTGATATAGACTATTAGTATCTATTTTTTAAATATTATTAGTAAAAAGTAAGTATCTCACACACAAGACACTGTAATGTGTCAAAATCAAAACTTCTASTTAGGTACACAAACCTTTACTAGCTTTATCTAAATGCTGAAAATCYTCAACAAAATTCAGGACATCCTGATAGCTTTCTTCACACACTTCTACAAGAAAATGGAGCAATGTTGTTTTCTGGTCAGCTGACTTCGTGTCCTTCAGCTGGGCAGGGAAAAAAAAGAAACGTAAAAACACTGAGAACAATTTTATTTTGTACTAATTTAATAATTAATATGTATTAGTAATTATTAATTCAAGAAATGAAAGAAYAAACTGTTAAAGTAGCACTTTTTTTAAAGACCCTAAGCAATGGGCTGTTTCATTTTCCCMCTTGCTAAACGTCCATAGAGAAATCACACTAAATATTTTTTCATTCTATGCAATATTTGCATTCAGTATTCAAAAACCGTACACATATTTTTTTTAAAAATGTCATTATTTTAACAATACAGGAATATTTGCAAAACTGTGAACAAGCAYATCAAAGTGTAAAAAAAAATCAAAGTTAAATCAGTAAAATCTAACTATACATAATGCACATATCTACTGCATTTCATGATTTCCTTCCTTATGTATGAAATTAACTCTAACATGAAAGTATTTACRAAGCTATACAACCTCAGCATGCACAAGTTCTTCTTGTTATGAATTCTCAATATTGCAAATAAGAGTTCATTGGGATCAGTGTTTAAAAATGTTGACTTTAAGAATTCTTAAGTATAAATTTTTCTTTTTGAACTCTTTATGCATATAAAATTATTCTCAAGCCTGGCCATCTTAAAATTTGCTTGTGTAAAAATGCTAACAACTGACAACAGACAAACACTTGGTTGTAGTCTTCCAACCAAGCTACTCTTCTAAATTAGAGATTTTTATAAACAGAAAACAACATCACACATGAAAATGTTTCTTCACTACTTAAGAACTATTTCTACATTAAAAAAATTAGCAGGAAAAGTATACAAACACTTAGGTATAAAGTAAACATGAGCACTAAAGTGCTGACACAGCTGCACAAAGACTTGTACTTATGAATACTGAGGCACAAAGTCCTTAATCCAATATTGATATTTCCKAATTAACTGTAAAAAGTCTTTTTCTTTTCAAAGATCAAAATGGTACTCTGTGAGTAAGTATGATGAGCTATACTCTTCCAGAACGTGCATGTTTTTCTTCAGACAAGTGGATTAATAAYAATGTGAAACATAATTTTCAAAACAAACAGAAAATGGAACACATACACATCAAAACCCAAAAATATATTCCAGTGTCCTTAGTGTGTGCAGCATTRTGAAATATGTTACTTCTACTGTATCGGGAATCTCATTGAAAGATGTCTCAATACCACCACACAAAATTTCTACAGTGTGACACAAAAATTAGCTATAAATATGAACCCGTGTTATAAGTATGCACATAATTTTWACACATCAGTATTTAATAAATGATTGAGTAATAGCATACCAGTATCATATTTCTCTTCTGAGGATAYTCATGGCCACTCTCTGATGTAGAACTATTAGTCATTCATTCCTTACATTCATTAACTATACACATCAATTCTCTTTTCCATATGTGGAGAATATTTCCATATTCTCTTTTCCTCCATGTTTATCTTCAAAATCTTCATATTCCAGAACTTAATATATTATTTCTCCAAGATAAATTCTGACTTTTGATCCTGCTCTGTAAAGTGCTTCTATCAATTACTTTAACATTGGTTTCATAAATACATTTTTTGTCCTGAGCACTAAAAATTAAGAATACAACCAGACCTAGGCCAAATTCTTGTAAAATCATACCTAAGAAGTAAATACACCTGATTGGAGAAAGAACCTTTAGTATCTTCCTTCTGAACTTTTTTCCAAGAAGTTGTATTTTTAACTCAATCACTACATCARCAATGTGTTACTCTAGGTGGATGACTTGTGCCTAATGTTTACTTTAGACTAGGTAAAATATGCAGTTTTTTCTCTTTGAATATTTATGTCATAGGTATCACATTCAACACTCAAAAACCAGAGTGGAAGAATTCTTCTGAAATATGGCAGAGTAATGGTGATTAGTTTCATGAACATAGAGGTAAACGTATTGTATTTTCTCTTGTGCAAAAASATAAAGAAACAGAAAGAGTACATACAAAGTTCCAAATAATTCTTTGCTTGTTAAGAACTGTAACATATATGTGCACTCTCTGTGGATTTTGCAGTAACCTTTCCCAGAGTGCATGGGAAAAAAAAAAAAACAAAAAACAAAGCACTAAATATGGGAAAGGTAATTAGCATTAGAAAGGTTTATAAATTAATGTTCAGAAAATTATAGACACCGTCTTGTATATGTCTTATACGTAAGTTGAAAGAATCAAATTTTTTTTAAAAGTTAAAAGCAAGTAACTGATGAAACCRAGCAACAAAAGAAGAGAATCATATAAGGAGTAAATTCATGTCCAAGAGAAAATATAAGTGTATTAAAACACACTAAAATGTGATAGATGTCTTAGAAATGCACAGAAATACTAAAATTACAGTACTATGATCACAGTGACATAAGGTCCTTACATAACCTTATTTAGTTTGGGTTTTTTATTATTCCCTCAAAATAGAATCATTTAAAAGTAATTAAATGGAAGCCAGTCTCCAGATGACTATTTGTGGATTCGTTTTACTGTTCAAACTATCAACTAATGCTAATAACAATGAAAAAAATAGTAAGCAAATAATTAACTGCAGGAAAAACATCAAAACCAGAGCATTTAAGTAGCATAATAAAAACAAAAAAAAATGTGAATCTAAGAATCAATATGGACATTTCAAAACTCACTTTACATAGCGAGCTGAGATTATATCCAAAGGTCTGTGCATTCCGAGAACCTGCGTTCATGTAGTTTCCCATTAACAACACTAGTTCCAGCAGCTTGCTAAAGCTTTTACTCTTCTTTATCTCTTCACAGGCAGCACTGACAGCCATGATGTCAGGTTTGATGTTGTTCACCTGCTCCTCAAACTGAAGCTTAAAAAGAATAGCACTGAGCCGTGGCCGTAGTCTCTTCACATTGCTCATCTGATTGAAAAGAAAAGTAGGAGATTTCCTTTAAAATTCATGGTACACTTCGGCAGTGTACAAATGCATACACTCTGAAATGATTTATTGGTGTGACAGGCTTGAAGAAGCAATATATCTGCTATAACTGATAGCAAATGAATGAATGAATGAATGAGAGACACTTGGGTAAGCAACTGAAATCCCATCTTGCGGTTAATAGGAACTGCCCCCATCCTTTCCAAATAACTRGTATGTGTAAGCAATAAAAGATAAAGTGTCATCATATATCACATCTGTCAACTCATATACCAAATCCTATAAAACTAATCCAAGTTTATGACCCAGTAGTTGCAAAGGAATGGAAGTAGTTCACAAATTTTGGATAACGCTGRATGTACCAAAACAAGACAAATCTCATTTTCTGGTGCAAATATTTGAAAGTTGACGTCAATAAGAGCTTATTATAAACTTGCAGGAAAATAACAGCTTTGAAAAATCTCAGCTATGAAACACTTAATATAGAACACACTAATAGATACCAATATTCGTATCCCACTCCACTCCTGTATACTAACCTAAAACAGTTAATCAGGTACAGCTGAATGCTCCCAGGAAAACAGTAACTTCTGTAGATCATACACAAAATACTTGGGTTTTTCTACGGTTTACTGATCATGTATTTTCAACAGAAATTTCAGTCTTCTTATATACTAAGGCACTGAATTCTCACTCCAGACACACTTTGCACATTGTTTACTACATCCACACTAGAAATACTAAAACTTATTCCATGAGCTGCTTTTCTCATCAGTTACATGAATTCCATTASATCTCCTCCCTCATACTTGTCTTTTTCCTTCTCAAGGCAAGGTTCAAGACAACAATTCCTTGACAATTCCCAAAATCTTCCATTAAGTTTTGTTTTGCTTTTATTTTCTAAATAAGGAACACATTATAGCTTCCACTATTTCTCAAAGCAAGAAAGAAGCAATAATATTGGCACTTCTTCTACAAAGCAATAGGCTTCATAAAGTGGCCTTAAACCTTTGCCTACAAATTGGACATATCCCCCTCCAAACCACAGTGATACCTAAGGTTTTACAGAATATTTCTCAACACAGATCTAGTCTATCAATGTGAAAATTCCTCTGACAATGCAACACTCATAAGTCATATGGTACTGGTTATCCCAAGAGACTCAGTGAAAAGGATAATAGTGACACTCTATCCATTTTCAGTGTAAACTGAAACTGAAGGCTGTCTAATCCAAAGGGCTTGATATAGAAGCAGAAGAGGATGGAATTTACAGTGTATTYTATTTGTTTTACTGTGACAATAGAAGAAAATAAAATCAGGTAGAGTTAACATTAGAGTTAACATTTTATGTTACTAGGCCATTTCAGAAATGCCTTCATAGCTGTGCAGCCACCCTATGGTCTCATTGAAGTAAACACACCATCTGCATTTCAGTTTGAGTAAGAAAACATGATRTAAAATAAAAAATCCTTTCCACTAACCATATTTTGGTTTTCAACATAGAGCAGAGCACATAATCAGGATGCCTTTTAGATTAAGCTAGGTTGAAAATCAATTGTTGCCCTTTAATCCACAGACTGCCTCCAGCCTCGTCCTCAAGTAAAACATTTAAAATGTACACTTTGAACATTATTAGCTCAGTACCAGCTGTAGGCACATTTTGTTCTTATGCTACATGAAATAGGATCCAACAAGTGTGGTAAAATTCTTACTTAAGAATAGATAAATAAGGATAATGGGACTTAAATTTGAATAGGTCATTTCACAGCAAAATAGAAACAGAAATACCTAAAGTCCGCATAAAATTTACACAGTACTCTTACAACTTTATATCTAGTTTAAGAATAACTAGTTAAAATAATGTTAAGGTAGTGAACAGAGGCAAATATCACAAATTMATTCTCCCAGATCTATCAGGAAGAATCACTATTAACTCCTTTTCTTTAATTACCTAACTAGATCTGTATATGTACTACTACATCTCAGCATCTTGAGA